TATATATATATATATATAAGGAAGTCTGATTTTAAAAGTTAAATTTCTAGACCTGGAAAAATATGTCATAAAATCTTAAAATGGCATAGGCATTTGCATAACACTTTTATATAGCATTTTAAATATTTACATAACAAATACACATTTTCTAAACCATAACATTTTGAAGCGTAGAAATGGTGAGTAAAAATAATTTGTAAAAATCCTTATTCAGTCAATCTTGACTGGACAAGTCATGTAAATTCATCGGGATCCCTGAAGGACATTAGGCTCTTAAAGTCCCCATGAAATCAAAATTAAAGGTTTTTGGGGGTTAGTATCAATATGTTAGTCTTAAGGTTATCTATAAGGCAGTGTGCTCCAAAACAGTGACAAAATTCGCATTTAGAAGATATAAGCATTCAAAGCTTGCAGTTCGTCACTTCCGCCAAAATGGCTCAACGTTTTTTTTGACGTCACATCGTACTTCTATTTGAATTCTACACAGAATGCTATATTTTATAGCAATATGGATGAGATTGTGGCTGGCATACCCTGTCAAATGCGGCTTTATGGAGCTCAACGGCTCAGAACGGCTCTAGCCCAAGCTGTGATATAAATGAACGCTATTGGCTATTTTAAAAAGGGCTTGATATGTCCCGCCCTGTCTTCCTGTTTCAGTTAAAATTACGTCAACACAGAGTAAGGCTGCATGTTTCTAAGCATTTCAGGCGACCTTTAACAACAACAACAACAACAACACCACACAGGTAATAAAAATAAAGATATAAAAAAAAATAAAGACATAAAGACCTGTGAATAAAATACACATTTGTGTATAAATATAAATAAACAGAAATAGCCAAAAATTGTATGTACAGGTGTGCTATAGATGGAATAAGATGTAGGGATGGACTAAGATGGGTGGTATCAAATAAATATAAGTAGTATTGCACAATAGGGAGAGCATTTAATAGTTAGATACTCACAGTAAAGGATCTCATAGTCCCCTGAGTTGGATACTAAGTACTGAGAATCCACAGACCAATCCAGATGGGTGATGAAACTAGAATGACCCTGTGAGCAATAACAGACAGTGGATACAAACATAAAAAACAAAATTAATTTGAGGAGGCAGATGTGTGTTTGTGTATGTGAAGAGAAAAAGATGTGCCAGTGTTTATTGTTGCTAACTAAAACTATTGAAAATCTTTTTCAGTAATCAAAATAAAGCTGATATCTAAATAAAAAAAATATGTTTAAAAGACAATTAATAAATCTACAAATTAAAAGTAAAACTGAAAATATAAAAACAAAAGCTAATTCAAGATATTAATAAATACCATATTAGTATATGAATACTAAAATAACGCTGTGGTAGAATCAGCTGGTCTATCATCTCGTGTGGCCTATGATAATCTATTACACACGTTTATTATACAAAATAAGTCATATTTTTGCATAAACACACATACTTACTGAGCACTTTCCAACTCTACTGTATTTCTTGCCATTTTCTGCAACAGCATAAATGTAGATGTAGTTGTCATGTGACCCGATTGCAAGGAAATTACCATCTGGAAAGAATAACCAAGGGTCTTCAACTTAATCAATTGCAGAGACTTTAATGATTGCTAGTTTTTGGCTGTCATCCTAATGTTTTCCCAGCAAGCAGTGAAAAGGCTGCTGGGAGAATGAACTCTAACCTGGAGAAAAGCGCATAACCGACAGCTGTTCGTTTCCGTCCGTGTGCACCGTGACCAGATCCTTCGATTCGGTATCGAGCACAAGCCACCTGCACAGATTGATAAAGAGTGAAAGGACAGTATTAAACACACAGGTCTAAAGAAACCTGAAACATAACAAATGTTAGACTCTTAGATGAGATCTTCAAGGATTCTTAGGAGAAAAAAAGAAAAGAAATCAATGACAGTTGAACAATGCCGCTGGGAAGGTGTTGGGTTCCTGTGTTGCATTAGCATAATAATAAGTGTTTGGCTCTTCCATGTAACACTCTATTAGACCCCTTTTCTGAATTGTAATGATGTGTCAGGGACCCCACTGATGAAAAGAAATCGCCTCACCTGCCCGTCTGCGTTCCTATAGCAACCGTTGCCCCAGAAGGGTGGAAGCCGGCCGACTGAGCGGCGTCCTGTCCGTGAGGGAAACACACATACATGCTCAATCAAACATCCTGTCAACACAAATACGGTTACATCTCAGCCTAAAGAACAGCAGAGCTCATTTCATTACAGTTGCAGTAGTGACAAGAGTTTCAATAACAAGAAACTGATGTGCGAGCTGTGAGATGACACTATAGTAATGTAAGGGAAACCTACCGAGGCGGGCTGCTCACCTCCAATGTTTTGGTCCAGATGGGCCGATGAGAGGCAGAGTCCCACAGGCAGACATGCTTGTCATGGCCACAGGTGAGGAACTGATGCTTCAGCGGATGTACAGTCAGGCCCCATAGCTCATCTGTGTGGCCCTGACAATCAAACATCAGTTTGAACATCAGTTTGGGTGGCATCAATCTGGTTTGAATTTAAGTTTCAAAGACAGTTTAAAACATCAAATATATTCTGTTTTATAACCACTTACTGAAGTACACTTTTACCCTAAAATGATTGATTTTGTTTCAACATAGAAGGGAATGAACCTTGTTCTACAACAGACGTTTTCAGCATTTAGAGGGACAGAGAGTGTTTTTGTTGGCAACACTTATAAACCTTTCACTGAGAACATTAACTAACACTACTAGGGATGCACTAATATTAACATTCTGGCTGATACCGATAAGGTAATAATTATTTCATCTGTATTTTATATAATACTTCTTGTCTAAATAATTTAAAAATAAAAACATAAAAAACAAAAATTGAACTAAAGTTTTAATTTTAGGCATCACAACATTATAATGTACTGTATGAAAATGGATATTAATTTTAAGATTTGCAAAGTAAGTGTTAAATTATTTATTATTATTTATTTAAAATGTTTAATATAAATTATTTCAATTATTTTATTTTTTTAAGATTAATTTGACATTAGTGATAGACAATAGCAAAGGTCTCATTTAAATGTAAAAATATGGAGAAAGGAGCATAATAAATATCTAATATATATCCAATATTGACCAATACAGATCAATAATTACTTTCTAAATAATGAAATGAAAACAATTAAAATATAATTTGAAAAAATACTATATTTAAGTAAAAAAATATATAACTAAAAGCGTTGGAAATGAATTTCATCACTACATTAAAACGTTCAGTATGAAAAATGGACATTAATTTTAAGATATCCTAAAGATTTAAAATTTAACAGTGTTTACAATGATTTATTTAAATATTTTAAGCAATTAAATATTATTTATTTAATAATGTATTTATATATTTAACATTATATTATTAAATATTTGATCTTAAATATTCATTATTTACTAAATATTATATACTCAAATATTTAAATTCGTATTGTTTTATTTTTAATTATAAAAAATACAATTATAATTATTATTATTCTATTATAAATCTAATATTGTAAAGATTAACTTTGAGCGTTAGATGATAAGAAAGGTCTCATCTAAGTGTAAAAATAATGAGAAAGGTAATATCAATATACAATATATATACAATATCAACCAGAACAGAGAAATTCTTTACTGAAATGAGGAAGTAGTTAATAATTCTGATATAATCTATTAAGTTAAAGATAATTCTATATGTTAATATGTATATTATATACTTCTCAACAGACCTGTTGAGACAACACTGGTTACTCATGCGCATTGTGTGTACTGGTTAACTTACCTGGGTGATGGGTATGAACTCCCCATCCAGACTGCCTTGCAGGACATAGTTTTTGGTAGTGCCAATAAGAACCGTTTCTCCCCGTCCTTCAGCCACAGTCCGAATAGGGCCATATAACTCCGGGACCTGAGAGTAACATACAAAATTGCTGGTAAATTATGGCTACCTGCATGCTTGATCGGTACTAATATTCAAGCATACAAATACAAATACAAATGCATACTGCAAAATGATACTTGTGTAGATGCCTTACCTCCACCGCTTGAATCTTTTGATAATTTTCATCCCAGGAGATGAGTTTCCGGTCCTTCCCACCTGAGACCAGCGTGCCATTTCTCAACATGCAAAGTGCAAAGACGCTTGCCTCATGTGCTCCCTGAATGGCCAAGCTAATACGATTAGATCCTGTGAAGCATGACCAGAAAACAAGCACTATATAAACCGACTGTTGCAAAACTGGAAACCATCATCAGTACATCAGACAATCAAAGGTGTTCACAGCCTACATGAAAAGAGTCTTACGGATTTGTGTAAAAAAGGAGCACAGTCTCTCTTTTATTAACACTAATAAAGAATCTTTTGTTGGCAGCAGGGTCACCCTTAGATAACACACATCTGTTATGCTGTACAGCATTCATAATTGTATTACATGAAGATATTTTACAGTTCAATGGAGGTAGGTTTTTACAAAACATTCAAATACATCAATAAATAACTCAATAATAATAACCCTTTTATTCTTTTACCTTTGCCCCACACAAGTATATTTCCACTCGAGTCTCCAGTGATGGCGTCGCCATTTTCTGAAAAAGTCACACACAATACAAACTTGGGCTTCTCTTGTTTCTGCAAGAAATATAAATATGACTTTATTTTTAAAGCAGAAATGCAATAGATGTATCACACAAAATACAGAGATTACATGTTTTTCATGTAGTCTACAACTACACTACCAGTGAAATGTTTAGACACATCTAACTGAACTTAAGTTTCTCGGGATCTTGAGAGCCTTTGGATCTGGAAATTAGTTTTGCAGACAAATATAAATTTCTTTTGAAAGAAATGCTAAAGTATAGCAAGGACGCATTAAATTGACTAAAAGTAATAAATGACAGTGCAGACATTTATAATGTTACAAATCATTTCTACTTTAAATAAATGTTGTTCTTTTGAACTTTATATTCATCAGATAATCCTGAAAAAATGCATCATGGTTTTCACAGAAATATTATGCAGTGTTCAACATTGATAATAATAAGAAATATTATGACACTGAAGACTAGAGTAATGGCTGCTGAAAATTCAGCAAATATTAATTTTTGAAATTAATATTTTGGAATAGTATAAATAAAAACTGCTATTTTAAATTTCAATAATATCTCACATTTTTCAGATTTTACTGTATTTTTTAATCAAATAAATGCAGCTTTGTTGAGCATAAGAGAATTCTTTCAAAAACATTACAAAATCGCAAATGGCAATGTATACATTTCTTTACAAAAGTAACATTCTAGTTAATTTTTAAGTTAATCCCATTATGCCCCAGAATGTATTTTTGTTTACTACATAATATAATTCACATACTTCCATTTGTGTTATTTCGTAGTTTTGATGACTTTTCTATTATTCTTAAAAGTATAACACAGTAATAATAAAGAATGAGTAGACGTGTCTAAACCTTCGACTGCTAGTGTACATGACGTACATGCACAAGTTTTACCATATCTGAACATGCATCATATCAAAAAATGGAATTTGATTCAATAAAAAGTGAAAAGCTTCACTGAATTTGACCACAAAGGCTTATGAGAAATTACCTCAAAAAGACCCTGTTTTTTCACAAGAGATCCCTTTTCTAATGACCAGAAATAAAGGTGTGACTTCCCGCAGGTTACAATTATATTAGCATCTGTCGGGTGGAAATCAGCAGCAAAGACTGACTCATTGGAGCACTGTGAGGGCAGAGAAAGAAAAGGCATAAAGACGCAGGAAAAAAGGAATCGGTTTTTCTTTTTCTCACAAAAGCATACATTGCTATCTGTCAATATCTATCCTTAATAGAACTCACCTTGACTTCAGCAAGTCTTTCCTCCCTCTGCCAGTCCCACACAGAGAGAATGTGGTCATTGGAGTCGTCCACAACACACAACCAGCTTCCTCCATTCTGAAAGTTTTGAAAGACATTTTTTAACAACTTGAGGGTGAGTAAACAATGACAAAATGCTCATTTTTTTGGGTGAACTATCCCTTTAAACCGACCAGGTTACAGAAAATACCACCCAGTACTTTTTTATTTCACAATAAAGAAAGGTTTGTTTGATGATTCAAAGAACTAGAAGCTGTATTTTGCAGTTTCACATGAGAATGTTTGTTTGTTAACATAATATAGAGTGACTTGTTCTTACCGACTTTGAGAAGGAGAGGCAAACCAGAGCTCGATCAAAGAAACCAGTTCCAAGGATGTGCAACGTGTTCAAACTCACAGAGTCCCACACTCGCACATGAGGAGCCAACTGCTGCCAGACACAGACAGACGGACTGAGCATGTTAGACCAGTTAAACTTCTATTTGAAGCATGTGGATTTTGGGATCTTGAGCCTCCACATTAGTTATGACATACCCTTGAGGCGCATGCAATAATTAGAAGATTTATTTTGGCTGGATCAAGCCTATTAGCAATAAGCTATTAATGTCTATGATTGATACCGGTTTAAAATATCTGAGCTGAATAAGTGATCTTACTTTTCCATCTGAGGATGTGCCAGCCACTTGTCCTGTTGCTATGGTGATTTTATCAGGATGGACAGTGAGGCTGTAGGGGAAGAAAAAAGAGGTGAAAGATGTAGGCAGCTGGGACTGTTGAAGAGCCGATGACACAGCAGTGAGAGGACATCGCACATTTAGGACTGTGTGAGTCAATGCCGTCACAACACAATGACCTTGAGCGTTATGAGTCACAGGACTGATCATAAACACAGGAAACTGATCCTGAAAGTCTTAATCACAGGCTATTGGTTTTTGTTTATGCTTTTCTTGCTCAAGGCCTCTGACTTACAATGAACAGCTTTGACATTTAGCAAATTCCTATACAGATGAAGAAATATGAGATTTTAGAACACAGTCATGCATGATCATTTGTGTTGTACCTGTGGGTTTATGTCCTAACTGGAGACTGGAGGTCTCCATTAATGTCCTTTTACTCTGTCTAATGTTCTGCTGACTTGACTTTTTTAAGTTTGGGGCCATTGATATAGACTACTATTCAAAAGTACTATTTGTGGTCGTTTGGATTTTTTAAAAATGTGTTTGAAAGATGCCTCTTATGCTCACCAAGGCTGCATTTATTTAATCAAAAATACAGTAAAAACAGTAATATTGGTAAATATTATTTCAATTTTAAAGAACTGTTTTCTATTTCAATATATTATAAAATGTAATTTATTCCTGTGTTGGCAAAGCTGAATTTTCAGGAGCCATAACTCCAGTCTTCAGTGTCACATGATCCTTCAGAAATACGCTGCTCAAAATACATTTCTTATTATTAGCAATGTTGAAAACAGTTGTGCATTTGCGATATATTTTTTTCAGGATTCTTTGATGAATGGATGGTTTAAAAGAACAGTATTTACTTGAAATAGTAATCGTTAGTAATATAATGTCTTTATCATCACTTTTGATCAATTTAATGCACCCTTATCGAATAAAACTAATCATTTAAAAAATGTAAAATTTTTCATGGAGATTAAATAGTGTTATTAAAAGAAAGTTACGAAGTAAATAGGATATTCAAACAGGAAAGGTCATAAATATGAATCTGACACTTCAATGTTAAGCATAACATCATTAATTTAATAACATTTTATGCATAAAGGATAATGTATTCACTATAATTCTAAACTTTAAAAAAAAGAACAATGTAGTGTAACACAGAGGCAAAATACAGACTGAGGGATGACAGTGGAATGAATAATGAACTTCAGTGACATGACTAATGATAAATGTTCTGTAAAATTGCACATCAAAGCAGAAAATTAAACACTGCTCAGAAATCATTCATTCAGAATAGTTTTGAAACATTATGCTGCAGAATATCTGAATAATAATTAAACTGTAGAATCTTCTTTAGATATGGCAGTTTAATAAAATATTGGAGGTGATGAAAAGATACTCAATGTACTGGTCCAATGACCCTAAAAAGTGTGAGATCAGTGTATGCTATGATGAACACACAGACAATGATATCACGCAAACAGAAATATTAGTCTTACCACTTGATATCATCAGTATGTCCAGTGTAGTGTCTTTGTAGTTGCTCATCAACATTATACAGCACAACCACAGATGCGATGAAGTAAACCGTTTCCCCCGTCGGGAGCAAGTACAGGTTGGATCGACAGTCACGGCCCCGGTAACCATAGCTGGGCCAAAGTCAAGAGCAAAAACTACTGTTGATGAACTAAACTAGTAACAAACCTCAGCTATAAAGGGCTTTTTCTGTGAAAGAGGAACATTTGTACATTTTTATTTCTGGAAAACTGCTAACTGACCAGTTGATATTTCAATTTGTTAGGCTTTAGATATTATAGATTTCTCAGTCCTGTCTACAAAGTTCTTTTCAGGTAAAGTACCAAATACATTATGGGTAAGACATGCAGAAAATATGTGAAAGAGGAACATTTGTACATTTTTATTTCTGGAAAACTGCTAACTGACCAGTTGATATTTCAATAGATATTATAGATTTCTCAGTCCTGTCTACAAAGTTCTTTTCAGGTAAAGTACCAAATACATTATGGGTAAGACATGCAGAAAATATCCCACTCTGACAGACTGCAGTCCTCAGCAGAGCCAGAGAGAACACCAGGGTATATGATTAGACATCCTTCATGCTTCCAAATTCAGCAACTTGGAATGTGAAAACGGAATTAGGGCATCACAATGAATAATCATTTTTGAAGTCCAGGTTTCAGAATTTTAACATTATGCACAATAATCTTAGAACACATAACTCTGACCTAGATACCATACCCATCATTTAACTCATGACATTTTTACAAGCTCATTTTCTAATAATACATCAAATGTTAATTCAATCTTACAGCAATGAGCGTTCAATACAAGAATCAATCTAAATGCAGCTCCATTTCTATTTCGCAAAGGATACACCCAGTCTAGCTTCAGTTTTTTAGGAGGCAAGTCAGCCTTTGCTTCCAGGCAGTATGTGTCCACCAGGTCTCTGGGCATGTACATGGTGATGGGTCGTCCCTTCAAATACATTTTGACATACCCTTCATCTAGAAAAAGCAACACAGACTTTTAGAGCAAGAAAATGCATGGGTCAGAGAAGGATCGCTGTGACATCTGTTGGGGTTAATGTCATCTGATTTTGATTAAAACAATGTTGAAGACAGATAAAAATTTGGGTCAGTACAATTTGTTTTAGTTATCTGTTTTACCTGTTTGTGAAATAAATCATGTTTTGCACAAACATATTCAGCAGTGCAACTGTTAACAGCACTGACAATAAGTAGAAATGTTTTCTAAGCAGCAAATCAGCAGATTAGAATGCTTTCTGAAGGATCATGTGACACTGAAGACTGGAGTAGTGATGCTGAAAACTCTTTTGATTGCTTTGTAATCACAGGAATAAATGACATTTTAAAACGTATCAAAATAGTTGTTTTATATTGTAAAAATATTTCACAATAATAATATTTTCACCATATTTTTTGATTAAATAAATACAGCCTTGGTAAACATAATAAGACTTATAACATTAAATAATCTTACTGGCCCCAAATTTTTGAATGTTAGTATATTTTAAAATGTGATTAAATGTTAATCCAAGACTAAATGAAATGATTTAATCCCAAAAGGAGGATTGTAAGGAAGTGCAACAGTGTTTAGAAGAATATATATTATGTTTTGAAAATAATTCAATAGGTCAGTGAGAATTAAAGGAAATGCTTTAATGCATTTTGTTACGTACAGTATTTGAAATACATTCAATTTAAAAATGAAGAAAAGCAAAATCAAATGCAGAAGCATGTGAATTCAGCAATTTCATGGTTTGGTAAATTAGTAACAGACACAAAATAAAATCACAGATAGGCATGCATGCAAACACAAAGGAAAAGGAAAAGTACAGTTTATAAAATACACACTTGAACAAAACAAACCTATTTAAAAGCAAAAAGACAAAAGTGTGAACATGCAGTGTAACATATACAGGTGCATCTCAATAAATTAGAATGTCGTGGAAAAGTTCATTTATTTCAGTAATTCAACTCAAATTGTGAAACTCGTGTATTAAATAAATGCAATGCACACAGACTGAAGTAGTTTAAGTCTTTGGTTCTTTTAATTGTGATGATTTTGGCTCACATTTCACAAAAACCCACCAATTCACTATCTCAACAAATTAGAATACTTCATAAGACCAATAAAAAAACATTTTTAGTGAATTGTTGGCCTTCTGGAAAGTATGTTCATTTACTTTACATGTACTCAATACTTGGTTAGGCCTCCTTTTGCATGAATTACTGCATCAGTGCGGCGTGGCATGGAGACAATCAGCCTGCGGCACTGCTGAGGTGTAATGGAAGCCCAGGTTGCTTTGATAGTGGCCTTCAGGTCATCTGCATTGTTGGGTCTGGTGTCTCTCATCTTCCTCTTGACAATACCCCATAGATTCTCTATGGGGTTCAGGTCAGGCGAGTTTGCAGACCAATCAAGCACAGTAACACCATGGTCATTGAACCAGCTTTTGGTGCTTTTGGCACTGTGGGCAGGTGCCAAGTTCTGCTGGAAAATGAAATCAGCATCTCCATAAAGCTTGTCAGCAGAAGGAAGCATGAAGTGCTCTAAAATTTCCTGGTAGATGACTGCGTTGACTGTGGACTTCAGAAAACACAGCTTTGTGTCCGGTCTACATAGCACCTTAAGGCTCGGACGGGACAGAGCAAAGCCAGGGCTGGGCCTGCCTCCTCCGAGGGCAGCGCTTGGAGGTTCACCAATGCCCTGCTCTCTCGTGGGAACAAGGGCTGCCTCCGTAACTTTCGTAAAGACACGGGGCAACAGGGACAGCCTGAAGGGCAGGACCTTGTACTGGTATGACCGCCCCTCGAACGCAAACCACAGGAATGGCCTGTGGTGCGGAAGGATCGAAACATGGACGTACGCGTCCTTCAGGTTGATCGCTGCGAACCAATCTTGGGGACGGATAAACCTGAAGATGCATTTCTGCATGAGCATCTTGAACGGGAGCCTGTGAAGGGCGGGCGAAGTGAGTCCACCGTGTCGCCGAAAAGGCCAGTCTGGGACACGGGGGCATTCAATAATCTTGTCTTGTCCGTCTCGCGTATGTCGGCCAGACACAGCCAGAGATGGCGCTCCTGGACCACCATAGTGGACATCGCACGACCCAGAGACCGCGCCGTAACCTTCATCGCTCGTAGCGCGAGGTCCGTCGTGGTGTGGAGCTCCGTGAGAACTTCCGGGTCGTGACCACCCTCGTGCAAGTGCAGTGCTTATCCTGACCGAGGAAAACCAGGAATACTGGAAATAAACTGATAAAATGTATTCTGAAGAAGCATCACTCCATCCTCCCAAGTGATGTTTGCTTTTTTAATTTGTTTGCCTTACAAGTATATTGTCACTATAAAACGCAGTGGGCATAGCGAGTCATTCACCGACTGTTGCATCAACATTAAAGACTACAGTTTGGGAAAAATATCTTCCACTAACTGTGAAGCACTTTACACAAACCAGCGTGACACTTAACTTCAGATTTATGATAAACACCAAATTCCAGTTCCAGAGAAAAAAAACGAAAAGCTGGTTGATGCAGGATGATAAATGCCCTTTACGGGACTGAAAGAGCAAATATGTGTACGTGGAGCAAAAAGCAGCAATAAACTATTGGAATAAAAGCTTTTCAGTGTGCTGCTGTGTGAATGCAGGAGAGTGTTGTGTTCCCATGGTGCATGTGAAAAACTAGTGCCATGAGCAGTGAGCAAAACACACAGGAGCTGTCAGAGCAGCATCACTCAAGAGTTAATAGCTTGTGTTTCAGCACCACTGCAATCAACCACAGGTTGGCATCACTCAGAAGGGTGTTACAGAGAGTGTGCATTAGTTTATTGGGAAGGGTGGCATTTCTGGAGGAAGAGTGGGAACTTCTATCACAGATGCAATTGTCTAATCAACCCAAACCCTTGTCTAATCAACCCAAACCCTTACGCAAGACAGCTCGGTGTGTGCTGATTCTGCCATAATATGAAGCCAGAGCTGTCAAAGTCTGCTAGATCACTGTCCCATCTGGAATCACTAGAATAGCTGTACAAACTGTATAAAGGGACAGTATATGATTCTTACAGCAGAAACAACCATAATAAAATGGAATAAGAAATCTCTTAAGACCCAATAAAATTAAAGTTTGGTGGCAAAAAATTATTAGAAATGCACTCTATTGATGCTGGTTTCATATGATTAAAAAAAAAAAACATGTATATCATTAAAACAAACCCGTTTTACATTTAATGACTCTAAAACATGAAGTTAAAAATATTTACAGTAATGAATAAAATTAAAAATAAATAAAAGCAATATTTTCTTTACACTGTATATATGTGTGTGTATACCAGCATTAATTTAGTATAAATGAGATACTAGTATAGTTTTTATTAATTAGTTTTCTTGAGAAGTTTCTGTTTTAATTTAAATTTTAGTTTTAACTTTATTTTGTTGTATGTATTTGTATATATATATATATATATATATATATATATAATGTCTGTAATAATAATAATAATTTTTTATGTTTATATTAATTTTTATTTCAGTTTTAGTTTTAGATATTTTAGTACATTTTAGTTGTTTTAATAAGTTAAACTAAATGAAAATGTTTATCTGTTTAACTATGAAAATGTTTAACTATTCTAACCCTGGTGTACACATCTTTATTATTTTCAAGTTTTAATATCATTTTTTTTATCATATGAGTATGACTTTTACTTATGACTTTTGACATCCAGCGTTAACCTTGCCTTGTCATATAAAGGTCAAATTATCTGATATTTTAAGGAATTTATTAACCTTGACTTACAGTCATGAGAGTCTACAGGGGTCTCCTCTATGATGTCATTTCCTGTTATATCAAATATGCCCCAAATACAAAAATATGTCAAAAAAAGAAAAATATAATTGAATAGGTGACTTCATGCGGTCTTAAGAAAAATGGTTTCATACAGTATCTGACAGTTCATAAATAATGATTCTCAAATCTACCAGCTGTCTTTGCATTTTTAAGCAAGGGGTCATAATTGCCCTCAATCTGTAAATGTTGACTTCGCTCTGGCTATGGGAATCAAGTTGTGTCCACAGAGCTGCTCACGTATGGGGCAGTTGACAAACAGTGCCTACCTTTGCAGTGAGTCACACGTCGCATCCCTTAGTGAACGTACAGAGACAGAGACAATCACGTAAGATGGCAGAAAACGGCTCATGGAAAGACAGATCTCTGTTCATTAGATCCCAGCTCGCCATGTCTGGGTAATTACTCTACAAGCTCCTCCGGGATAGTCGTTTCATTCGCCAAGTGCTCTATTTAACAAATCTCCACTGCTTAATTTTGTGTACTGTATATTTAACATCTGGAATTGCTGTCTTGATGACCTCAATTAATCAGAGTTTTCGGCACAGTTAAATACAGTAACTGGGTCACATATACAGTAAGGAACATGCAAATGTCGCCTTCAGGCAGAACAGCTTGTTTTATTCCGCCTCATACGGCTGCACACACTGAACGCTCTGCTTTTACACTGACAGCAAATCAAATTTGTTCTGACATTCCCAAGAACTGCTGCTGAATTCCTTTGTATCTCTTTCAAAAAAACGAGCTGCACAGCTTCTGACCAGAATTGATGCATAATAGATAAACACAATGACTATAAATGCCTGTTGGACCTTGACAATTTCAAGCTTTTTTTCTTTTCTTTGAAATAACTTGTTCTTTGCACTGAGAAAGTAATTAACATAATTCTGCCACTTATATGCATAAACGATACTTATATAATAGTAAATGATTAATTCTCATTATTTTCTATTACCAGAATGTATTTGCTTTGTGACCAAATGCATAAAAAATTCTACATTTAAACCGAAAATAAGTAAAATTAAATAAACACAAAAATGAAAAGAGGAAACATTTTTGGTAAGAGATGATGTGTTACTGACAAAAGAATAGCAGGTAATTAAAAGGTGAAATGAACTGAAACAAAGATTGTACAGTACAATATACAGTAGAACAATGCAGTGAGAGTGACCTCCATGAGCCATGACTGGAGACACAAGCAGAAATCTCTAAAATCGTTTTTTTTCTTAAACGAGTTTCCCTTATTTCACCACAGTTCCATTGTAACATCTGTCCACCTTCTAATTGATCTGCACTGCTGCTAAACAAATGGGCATCTGGGTGGTCAGCCATTTATTTTGAGGACATGTATTTGGTGAGAGTTAGCAGAGTCTGTACTTTCTGGAAAATCTGGTCAAAAAGAGCAATGACAGTATAACCAATGCTTGTGACTGATCCAGTCTTGGTTCAGAGACACATACTCTATCACATGGGAACAGAACACCTGACTCTTACCTGCGCTGAAAACAGGCTCCCTCTGTTTGCTGCGGGGGGTGAGAAAGGAAAAAATCATCCAAATGAGCTTGTGTAATGTGTGAGTGTATGAGTTGCTCTTATTCAGTCAATCACATGGGCATAAAAGCATATATACTGTACATATTCATTTACATACTTTTCTGTGGCTTTCTTGCCACTGGAGTTGCTCCCTGTGGAACCAGCGCGTGTGCGATTGCTTTTGGAGTCCACACCACTGTCTTTCCTGTTGTTAGGGCCAACTTGCTCGGATGAATTTGTTCTCTTCACAGTGCTATGAATGATGAAAGGTAAGATTTTAATATAATTTAATATCAGAAGGCACAACAAAACAGGCAAAACACTCCTCAATCATAAAACATTCCTCATGTGAAACATACCAAATGAGAAAATATGACATTTGCTTTTTGAATATGATACACACAATATTAGATGAATTAAAGATACTGCTTGAATTATTATTAACATTTCAGATTTTTTAAGAAGAAAAAGTTTTAAAACTTTGGTGTTGCATTTATTTGATCAAAAATACAGCAATAACAATAACACTGAGAAATATTATTACAATTTAAAACGACTGTATTCCTGTGATGCCAAAGCTGAATTTTCAGCATCATTACTCCAGTCTTCAGAATCAGAATGAGTTTTTTTTTTTAGTGCCACATGATTCTTCAAAAATCATTCTAATATGCTGATTATCATGATCAAGAAATATTTCTTATTATTATCAATATTGAAATCAGTTGTGGTGCTTAATATGTTTGTGGAAAGTAACCGTACTTTTTTTTACATACTTTTCTGTGGCTTTCTTGCCACTGGAGTTGCTCCCTGTGGAACCAGCGCGTGTGCGATTGCTTTTGGAGTCCACACCACTGTCTTTCCTGTTGTTAGGGCCAACTTGCTCGGATGAATTTGTTCTCTTCACAGTGCTATGAATGATGAAAGGTAAGATTTTAATATAATTTAATATCAGAAGGCACAACAAAACAGGCAAAACACTCCTCAATCATAAAACATTCCTCATGTGAAACATACCAAATGAGAAAATATGACATTTGCTTTTTGAATATGATACACACAATATTAGATGAATTAAAGATACTGCTTGAATTATTATTAACATTTCAGATTTTTTTAAGAAGAAAAAGTTTTAAAACTTTGGTGTTGCATTTATTTGATCAAAAATACAGCAATAACAATAACACTGAGAAATATTATTACAATTTAAAACGACTGTATTCCTGTGATGCCAAAGCTGAATTTTCAGCATCATTACTCCAGTCTTCAGAATCAGAATGAGTTTTTTTTTTAGTGCCACATGATTCTTCAAAAATCATTCTAATATGCTGATTATCATGATCAAGAAATATTTCTTATTATTATCAATATTGAAATCAGTTGTGGTGCTTGATATGTTTGTGGAAAGTAACCGTACTTTTTTTCAGACTCATTTGATGAATAAAAAGTTCAAAATAACAAAACACACATTTAAAATAGAATGTGTAACATTAGAAATGCCTTTACTGTCAATTTTAAACAATGTAATGTGTTTTGGAATAAAAGTATTAATTTCCTTTAAATCAAAACATTAAAACTGCAGTATGTATGTACAGTACACTGGTTCTTTTTCATCAACCAACTTCAGCAAAGATCAACTTGAACCTTCAGATTGCATCAAGCCTCTCTTTCAGACAGACGAGACGGGCAAGTATTCAAACTTAGTTTTATTAATTGATACATTAAATATCAATTAATTTGGACTAAGAATCTGATGTTTCCTTCAGGCTCTAAATCTGCTGAATATCAAATGGTTCCATAACTTCATATTTTTATTTCTCTGCTCTTATAAATACAATAGAGTAAAGATACAAATAAAATCAACAGTGATTTTCAGGTTTTTTTAGGTAGGTCTAACATTAGTTTTCAGGTACAGAAATTGAATAAAGTAATGAAATGTAAAACAGCATTGCATATTTTACTGTATAAATTAAAGATTAATCTTTATTAAAGTTACAAAAGCTATTCAATCGCAGTGAGTGATTTCTTTGTTGTTGCTGTTTGATTAATATTAAGAAAGTGCTGTCACTTTAAGAGAAAGACACAGTACGTTCAGCCGGCTATGTTTGCGATACTTATCAAGACGGGCATTTTGACATAATTTTTGTGTGAATTTGTCCATTTAAACACAATACTTCAGAGAAAGCTTAATATTTGCACGCTTTGATGCGCGGGTTTGCGGTTCGATTTTTTCCCGCAAACCGCTCCACCTCTAATAGCAATAGGATGGGATGGAGATGAAAAATAAGAAATGGCACACAGGTGGTTCTGTAGAGATTTGTTTTTCAGTGAGGCTCAAAGAAATCACTGAACATGTTGCAGCTGAGATAGAATTCAAAGCTGAAATAAATAACGTGATCTGGAAACTCTAGGACTTTCCACCAAATGAGGTGGTCTGTGTGGTACCTTTGGTTGGTCCTTTCCTGCTGAGCATGGCCTGCTGCTCCTCTGAGATGTTCAGTCTCCTCACCACATCAAATGATTCTCATCAACAAATTGGCCTTTGAGACTGGCCTCTTACATAAAGAGTTCACGCTGAGAGACACAGCGAGGATCTCTGAGAGAAAGTGAGTAAAAGGTTTGTGTGTGCTTTAAGAGGATTACAACCGCCTGCTTTCCCAACCCACTTTGTTTTTGCAACCTGAGTTCACAGATCCAAGGTCAGTTCATTGAGGACCCATCTGGAAACTCTGGCGATAGTAAAACAGTGCACTATCTCAAAGTGTCAGTGTTTCAAAGAAGGTGGCTGGACTGTTATATAATCCATCAGAGCCCCGAATGAAGCAAGAGAACAGTGTGATACCAAGCTATTTGCAAGATTACAGGTACATAATGAGGAAAAAAGATGGCCTTTAGTAAATAGCACTTAGGAGGTAAAAATAGACACATGAGATCATCTCAAAGACCTCACATGTGACCTCTGGCATGGAAAGAGCAGGAGAAAGAGAGAAAGCAGGGAAGAGGTAATGAGCAGTGCCAAACTGTCCCATTGAGAGAGCCAGAGTTTCAATCCACCTTACATCAGCAAAATCTACCTTCAGGTCAAGCTGTAATCAACCTATTAAAGCCGATGCCTTCTACCATTCTGATTTAAAATCCCTTGTTAGTGTTTTATAGTTGCGGCTTAATCTTTACAAGTTAACATTATTGACTTGATTTTTACATTTTCTGAATAGAAAGTGCCGGTGGAGTTTAGTCACTAAGCCTTATCACCACAAATCTAGGGTGTTGTGGGTGGTTGCCAGCAAGAAGCTATGTGGTTGCTAAAGTTTTGTGAGTGTTTTCAGCATTTCACAATGCAGTTGTTAAGATATTCTAAGGTGATGATACACAGGGCAACTTTTTGAGCAGTGGTGCCAAGCGATGTTGCTTGGGCACTTTCCCATTGAGAATGGGCAATAAATTTATATCTGGATACTTTAGATCGGTGGTGGGCCCTGTGTCCGTCATGGGCCCTGGTTGCTCGTTGATGGCAACACTGCACAGCAACATTGCTCAAAAAGTTTCCCCGTGTATCATCACCTTAAGTGTTGTTAGTGTGTTGCTATGTGGTTGCTAGAGTGTTCGGAGTGTTTTTTTTTTAAATATTAATATGCAGCTGTTACAATGTTCTTAATGTTTATAGTGTTGCTATGCAGTTGCTAGTACATTGTTGGTGTGTTGCTAGGGTATTCTGAGTGTTTTAGAGCATTGCTAGGCAGTTCCTAGGATTATGAGTATTTTTTAAAATCTTAATATGCAGCTGCTAGGATGTTCTTAATGTTTATAGAGTGTTGCTATGTGGTTGTTAGTATGTTGCCATGCAGTTGCTAGGGTATTCTGGGTGTTTTATGTTGCTATGCAATTGCTATGGTGTTCTGGATGTTTTGAAATTGTTGCTATGCAGTTGCTAGGATGTTGTTAGGGTGTTGCTATGTGCAGGGCCGGATTTAGCTCTTTTCGTGACATAGGCAAAACACATTTTTGGGTCCCCCTTCTCTATTAATATAATAGGCCTAATATTACCACCACCCAAGCAAAGAAAAATATTTCTTAATCAGTGAAACCGTTACAGTGTTTTCTATCTATCGCAATAAGCGCTTGCGTTCAGTCAATAAAAATCGAATGTACACTGTAAAATACAATAGTTTACCTTACTTAGATTTAGTTAGTTATCTTTACTTAGTTGTTATACTTACTAGGTTTTATTAAGTTACAGCTACTTTCAAGGCAAATAAAAAATTTACTTACTGTTTTGAGTGACACTCAAGGAACCAATGACATTAATACACCAGTGAGAGGCAGCAGTGCACTAATATGTTGCTAATGTGCAGCATAACAACAGAAGAAGAAGAAAAGAAAAAGAGTCTTAACCACTCATTTCCTCAATGTCTGGAGTTATCTTTCACTAGTTGCATTGACTCGTTTCCCAGTCATCTTGAATGTTGAATTCTCAATACAACTGAAATATTTGAGAGAACATCACATAAGCTAACTTCATAAATTGATGTTGATTTTCCTAAAACGTGTGTTTTTTTTAAATTCACCATTATAGTGATTAGCGTTCCCTTTGGTTGAGCACTTTAAACTTGGTTTACATTACTTTAATTTCCTTCCTGTTAATGCAGTAATGCATTATGAAGTCAGAGTTAATTGATTTCAAAGGAAGAAAAGTAATAAATAGGTTGCTTTAAGAAAGTGACCTATTTTAATTAATGCATTTATTGTGTGTGTATATTAATGAACTTTATCAAATTACTTTATTCATAAATATCTTGAGATGATTTTAATTGGGTTTATATAACCCTTAAATAGTGTGTGGTAACATGTTAAAGTCACACACAGACTTAAACATTCAGCATGTGCATCACAACAATGGTAACAATTCAATTTCATTTATTTGCATTACTTGTAACAATAACCATTTTATTTTGCTCTTTTTGATGTGCTACTACTGACACAAGACAGCAAACAAAATTGTAAAATAAAATCAACAACTGTAAAACAAAGCAACTGTATAATTTATTCATACCGCAATGCACTCTGTGAGTCAGTGAGTAGCTATACTAAGTCATGAGTAAACCTAAACCTGTAAAAAAAAAACTACAGTTCTTTTTTAGTTACTAGAACTCTCGTGTAAGTAAGCTATACTAACTAAGCATTTGTCAGTACAACATACTATTCCTATTTCACTTTACTTAATTTTTTCAAGGCAATCGGTTTGCATGCTTTTTTTTAAGTAAGCCCAACTAATTAGATTTTACAGTGTAGTTATTTGTTTGAGAACTGAGAAAGACCATTCCATTAATAGGCGCGGCGTTGTGGCCACGTAACCACTTTGGGAGTGCATTATTTCTCTAATAATTTTAACGGCCTGGAGTCACAATCACACATCAATTGTTCAGATGATTTGTTTCAAGACTACTAGAACTAGCTAATTTTTTAAGCACTTCATCTCAAACGTTTCGTTGCAAATTCCAAAATGTCATTTTAGAGCTAATAACAGAGGCTTGAGCCATTGATATGCACGCTAAAGCAGTTATTAAAGCAGCTAACGCAATTATTAGAGAGAGAGAGTGAAAGAGAGAGAGCGAGATTAAGTGTGTGTGAACACGTGCGTCTGTGCGTCTCTCAGCAGTGTTCAGCAGCAGCGTCTACTAATAGTGAATCTTTCATTTTAACTGCTTCAAGAACCACGCTACTGAGAAATGTCATGTAGCTTTTCAGCTGCGAAACAATTTAATTGATAAATTCGCGGGGCAGCGCTGACAAGTTTCTGTCCGCGTGTGTGCGCGAATGGCTTCCACCTTTTTTATGAAGAGAAAACACGCTTTCCTTCTCCCATTCTCTCCCACTCTGTTTGCATCTGTGAGAGAGAACAAGAGAAGGAAATCATAAAGGTGGAAGACATGGAAATATTTTGTCATTTTTACCCTATTGTTTGTTATAATTATTTGTTCGATGTCTTCTGGGGTTTTGGTTATTTTACTGTTGTAGATATCTCATAGTATAACAAAAATATTATATATCTCTTTATTGTGTTTGGGCCCCCCCTGGACGAGCAAGCATAGGCGCGTGCCTAGAATGCCTATGGGTAAATCCGGCCCTGGCTATGTGGTTGCTAGGATGTTCTGAGTGTTTCTCAGTATATTGCTATGCAGTTACTAGTATAAGTGTTTTTAATATGTTGCTATGTGGTTGCTAGGGCATTCTGGGTGGTTCTTGCATTCAAAAACAGCTAGACGCAGCACAGCAAAACAAAACAGGCTCCAGGTGTATTGAAAGTCAAACTTTTTTAACTTGACACAATATCTTTAAAAAAAAGCGTTACTCATGGTGCAAGACGCTAAAAAATAGAGACACATCACAATGGTTGAAGATCTCCATCTAATGCATATTTAAAGGCATCAAATGAAAATTCAAACTATTTTCTAAATGAATTTTGTTGAATTTATAGTGAATGATTCAACAATACATGTTTATTTTTTTATTTATATTGTTTTTAATCAAAATGTCATAACTTGAACTTCCAGTGAAACTGGAAGAATTTACTAACAATTTACTAAAAAAAATAGATTTATATTTTTGTATTATATATATTTGACTGCAAGTTCCTCCATTCAATCAACAACTGATGGACTTTCAAGTCCAGCCCTACATATTTTTCTTTCTTTCTTGATAATCCAATTCACTTGGATGCACATCACAATACACTATACTTCTGTCGCTACTTCCATCTCACATTGTGAATTTAAACTGAAAAACTATTTAAAAAACAATGCAGACAGATCAAAGAACATATCCTGTGTGAACAGCCCCTTAGCAAGCAGCACCAATGAGAGGACATTGAAATTATCAAATGAGGACATAGAGGAGAGGGTTTGCCAAATGGCTTGATGGGATATTAGTGTACATCTTTCTCTATCTTTCTCCTTCCCTCTCATGCACTGCTTCCTATAAAAAAAAGGTGTTAGCATGCTGCCGGCACCTTACCAGCATGTGTAAGACAGGCAGCAGAAGCTATAAGTGTGTTTACGTGTGTGTTCATTAATCACACCAGTCTCCATCCCCACAGAGAGACACCAGACAGGACTGAGTCAGTGACAAGTGATGCGGAGATGCCTGCAGTGTTGTTCCCTGTTAATCTCCTCCAGGCAGCCAGGGAGGCAGAGAAAACAACTTTGTATGAACCGCAGAGGAGGGTGTTTTCCACCCCCTACCCCCCTGCTCACTGGCAAACAACCAACAAGGGGGGTATTTTAGGGACGACGGTGCTCTAGCCCCAAGCCTCGCTGTTAGGATGCAGGAAGTGGTCGGGCTAAGAGAGGATTAAAAGGATACTGAGCCGATCCTGATCAGCAGTTATCCCTGTTGCCTTGGGAGAAAGTGCACAGGCCTAACACGCTCTGATGTATGGGCTCATGAGACTGTTGAAAACAGAGCCTGTTGTGTTGTTTTGGGATCAAAACGGCCATATGTTTTTGTCCTACAAATGAGTTGCTGGCCAGAGATGTGGTTTAGCAGTGCAATGTTTAAATTGTTTGCTAGCAATAATACTATAAAGGTTTTGTACCTTATTCAAGAAATATGAGCAAAACAAGCAGAAACGTGATGTACAAAAAACAAACTTAGATTTTTTAAAGATACTCAAAAAAAAAAAAAAAAGTCCCTAAGCAAAGTTGTCAGTGGGATGATGCGAGGAGATAAACATTTCTGTTAATAAGTTAAGAGAAATTGGCCAAATATCAGCTGATTAATAATATCAGCCTGATCGAGATATTTTTAAGAATAAATTCTTTCTATTTAAATTATCATGAATGAACGGATTATTTTCACAGTCTAATATATATTACTGTTCAAACGTTAAGTGTTTTTGGAGGGGGGTGTCTTCTGCTCAACAAGGCTGCATTTATTTGACCAACAATACAGTAAAATAATAATATTGTGAAATTTTGTTACAATTCAGAATAAGTATTTTCTATTTTAATATATTTATATAAAATGTAATTTATTCCTGTGATGTCAAAGCTGAATTTTTAGCAGCCATTACTCCAGTCTTCCGTGTAACATGATTTAAACTGCAACACATTTTTTCAGGATTCTTTCATTAATAGAAAGTTCAAAAGAACAGCATTTATATGAAATAGAAATCTATTTGTAACATTAGTTGCTTTTACTGCCACTTTTGATCAATTGACTGCATCCGTGCTGAAGTATTGTGCTATATTGTAACTTTTTATTAAAAGGACAGTTCTCCCTCAGTTCACTAATATTTACTGTATGGTAGGGATGTAACGGTATGAAAATTTCTTATCACGATTATAGTGACCAAAATTATCACGATTGCCAGTATTATCACGGTATTGTTAAAATGTGGCTGGAGATGTTAAAAAAGTACCGACACATAAATCACTTCAAGTTTTATATTTAAAAATCAACAAACAACAAATAAAATGACTTTTTTGTTTGCATAATCACTAAAACAGTAACATTACCAATGATGTTCAGATTTT